GGTCAAAAATGTATGGCAGTAGCTCACAGACCACACAGAACCATATTTGGAAAGTCAAAGGTTAGTAGCAGAATATAGTCACTTAGGACAGCTTCTAAAATAGGCTCACAATCACCTCAGCCTTGAGCCTAACTGCTTTAGGCCAGTGTTAGTCCTGCCAGTTAGGATTCCCTTCCACCTTATTTCTACAGAGCCCTCAGTTGTCCAGCGAACTTGGGCAAAGGCTGCTAGTTCTGATTCCATGGAATAGTAGTCCCAAGGTCAACTCTGTCTCATGTCAAGTCTCTGGTTCTCTGCTGAAGCTGCTATGGCTGCTGCTCCTGTAGTCTCTAGTCTGACAGGCACAATACTCTCTGGCCTCCAAGGGCTAGTTGCACTGTTTTGCTTCTTCCTGACTGGTGGTAAGCTTCTCAGATTCTCTGGATCTTCTCAATTTAATGTCTAGACTAGCCATTCTCTTTGTGGATTAGTCAGACTAGTCAGTACTCTTTTTTTTTTTTTTTTTTTTTAGTCAGTACTCTTATGGCTAGACTAACATACCTTATTTCCATATTCCCACCCATTTGAACAATAAACATTTAACACCACATTAATGATTTCATCTTCATTAAATCCACGCTCAGCTCTGTTCGCAACAGCAGTAATGAAATCAAAAGACTAGTTCCTTGGGAAAACCTGCTATTGAGGACCTGTCCAGAGTGCTAAAGAGCAGCAGTGTCTGTCTAGAGACTAAGGTGTGCCTGATCCAGGTTATGGTCTTCTCAATTGGTTGCTATGCATCTGAGCATGATAAAGTATAAGAATGACAGAAGAATAATTTATACTTTTGAGTTTAGTACTGGGGAAGAGTATTGAACATACCATGGACTGCTAAGAGAACAAACAGATCTGTTTTGCTGTGAGGTGAAACCAGCTTGCTTCTTGGAGACAAAACTTTTTAAACTCCTTCTCAACATCAAGAAAACAAAGCTTCTCACCACTGGGCCAATTGGCAACATCATTATGGATGATGTAGAGATTGAGATTGTTAACAGTTTTAGTTTGCATGGTTCCTCAATCAACATGTTACCAGCAGCCAGGAAATCAAGAGACGAATTGCATTGGGAAGGTCAGCTGTCAGGTATCTCTCCAGAGACCTGAAGAGCAGTGACGTCAGGCTGGAGACTTAACATGTGCCTGACCCGGGCCATAGTCTTTGCAATTGCATGATATGTGTCAGAGAGCTGGACAATGACTATGGATGATAGAGATTGATGCCTTTGAGCTGTGGTGCTGGAGAAGAGTGTTGAATATACCATGGATTGATAGGACAACAAACAAGTTCGTCTTGGAGAGGGTGAAACTGGGCTGCTCCTTGAAGGCAAGGATTCTGAAGCTTCATCTGAAATACTTAGGGTATGTTGCAAGGAGGGACCAGTCTTTGGAGAGGGACATGATGTTTGGGAGGGTGGAGGGACAGCACAAGAGAGAAAGATGTATTGATTTAGTGATTGGGGTAATGGGAGTAGGTATGTCAGAGTCAGTGAGGTTGGCACAGGATAGAGCAGGGTTTAGGGCTCTTGTACATTATGAGTCGCAAGCCACTTCATGGCACATAACAACACCACCACACATACTTTGAGTATGTTGTCAGGAAGGACTAGTCCCTGGAGAAGGACATCATGCTTGCAAGAGTAGTGGGTCAGCCCAGGAGAGGTAGACCTTAGACCAGACGGATTTGACACAGTGACTGTGACAATGGGGTAAGGTGTGTCATAGATGGTGAGATTGGATCAGGATAGGATAAGGTTCAGAGCAATTTTACATAAGGTTGCTATTAGTTGACAGTCAACTCAATGGCATATAAAAACAATTCTTTTTCAAAGTAGTTGTGCCATTTTACATATTCAGTGGCAGCCTGTGAAATAGTAAGCCTTTTAAGACATTCTATTAGGTATGAAGTGTTAATGGTTTGTAGTCTCAGTTTCATATCTTCTGTTTATTGACATCTTTCTGTTGAACTAACTGTTAAAATTTTATGTTTATTTTTATTGTTACTTATTCATTATCAGCAGTGTCATTTGAAGTGTAGAAGCACTTAAGTTTCTTAAAATACAGTATATCAGTTTATTCTTTTTATGGGTTGTCTTTTTCATATTGTGATCTAATAAGTCTTAACTTATGGTAACAAAGACCTTCACCTGTGTTTTGTTGTAGATATTTAGATTTATGATTTCTTTGCGTTAATTTTGTGTATGATTTATTTTAAGTACAAATCAAGTCTTTTTACATTTTCTTTGTATCTGTATCAATTGATCCCACCTGTTTCTCACTTTGTTACTTTGTTACCTTATGTGTTCAAATGACACACTGTGAGTGATGTCTGTGAGTCAACAAAGAATAAACTAACCTGTTGCTGCTTTTGTGGCTTTAGAAATACTGTGGCTCTTAATCTATTGTCTGCTCTGGGGCAGTGAGGGGCTGTGTTCTTTTCACTCCCTCTGGCCCATTCAGAAAGATGTTCATGGCTCTGTGCTCCCAGGTGCTATTTTTTCTTCTCTAGGCAGAACACCTGGAAATCTACTATTGAAAATTATCCAGTGAAAGCCCTTTCGATCACAACAGAGCATTGTGGGATACAGTGCTGGAAGTTCAGCCCCCTGTCTTGTTCTTGATCTTAGGAGAAAGTATTTAGTCTTTCACCAGTTAGTATCCAACCCAGTCAGATTTTGCAAAGGATGACTTCACGATTACATTTATTCGATATTTAAGACCATAGTCATCTTAGTTTTTACTATGATGCTATGTATTGTGTGCCATTAGCAATTTAAATTAGATCATGTTGTGGTTAGAAGCCAAAAAGTTATTTACAACTCATTGCTGCATATCTGAACTTTGCCCTATCCTACGCCAACATCATGATCTCTGTTATACCCAGCCCATTCCAACCTTCTCAGGCATGACAGCTGTAAAAAGAGCAAATGTAGCATGGTAGTTGCCAAGTCTGACTTGTACTCACTTCATAAAGGGAAACTATCCCCATCAGTAATATTAATGATACCTTATAAATATCTACATGGTCAGACATGCCACCCCACATACTCCTGCACCTATTTCTACCAATCATTGTGTCCAATGTTTGTTGTAAATTGACTCACAGACTTTACTCACAGTTGTGGAGTTTATCAGGGAAACAGGTTAGGTAATGGGGGAGGCAAAGAATATCACACAAGGCAAATCAAGGTTTAGTCCAGCAGTCCCAAGCCAGATTAACAGCAAGAGACAATTCTTCAGATAGCTTCTCAGTCAACAGGTGAACATTTAGCTTCAGTTCAGCAGCATAAGTAAACTGCTGATTTCCTCAGTTGTTCCTATATCACAGACATATATATTATCAACTGATAGTCATCTTCCTCTGAATTTCACAGCACAGAACTTTCTGTATTCCTTACTGCTACCTCAGAGTCACTCCTTTACTCTCTTCCATCTCAGAAATTCATTGCCCAATCACACTTGAAAACTAGTAGTCACCCTTGGTTTCTTTTACTCAAAACTACAATCAAAGTTTATGGAAAATGAAATGTCTACAATAAGCAGCTTTTTTTCTCAACACCCTCCTTTTTACGTTGGCTTATTTAACTAAATGCTGACTTTCTATAATAGTCTCATCACAATCCCAAAGCACATGGTTTGAAGCCACTAGCTGCTAGGCGGGAGAAGGATAAGCAATCTCCCTTATAATTTATAGCTTCCAAACACCCAGTGGAGGGTCAGCTATAGGTTGGTTCAGATTCAAGGACACACAACAGTAACAACTTTTGAGTTTAATATTTTTATGAACTCCTTAAAACCTAAGCATAAATTAGCACAGTACATAACTTAGCTAGCCAAGTTCAGTTAAAATCCACCAGCTGCTCTGGTGAATGGACTGCTCCCATAAATAAAGTTTTATAGCCTTGGAAACCTGATAGACTATTGATATGAGTCTCTAAGGACTTGACAGTAGTGGGTTTGGATTTTTGGGTACTTTGGTTTTCTTTTTCAATCTTAGGCAATCACAAGGTCATAAATTAATTTCTTCTGAAGTATACTGAATTATGGTTTATTCAGCTACTAAAATGGTAACTGACTTAAAAAAATGACTATGCCTTTCAGGATTTCAGTTTTCTCTTCCAGAAATTGAAAGTTATTTTATAAAATATCAGTAAATTGCATCCAACTTGTTGTAATATATAACCCATGGCCTGTTTTTTACTATAGCTCATGAGCTGTTTGAACTTTGTATTTAAAAGGACTGTTTAAAACAAACCAAAAAAGTACCCTGTGATCCTCAAAGCCTAAAATATTTACTTATGAGTTTTTAATATTTGTGACATCTATAAAGTATTAAATACTTAGAGACTGGCTAAATAATTCATAATGATTCCTACTTTTAGACTAAAACTCTTCCATTATAAAATCAATATAATTAATTGAATATTTACAATGTGTTTTGTTTTTATTACTTTTAATGAACATTTACAGAGATTTGGGATTTCCATTCATATCTATTGTTGAGCTTTTCTCTCCGCCCACCCTCCCAACTCCAGTTCACTCTTCTCTTTGAAAAATAAAAGAAAAATTCCTTTACTGGTGTACAATACCCCCCCGCAACCCCCACTCGCCTCCACTCTGCAACCTTCATTCTGGACTCTTATGATAATCATAATACCCTATAATACACTGCTTTTGAACTGTTCTCTCCCTCATCCATTTCAATGCAGTATATAATGTTTTTACTCTTCAGTTAATTCATTGTTACTTGGGAGAATAACCAGTTTTCAAAAGTTTTAGGTTATATTAACTCCATTTAGTATATGAAAAAATAACTGAAAAAAGTTTCATTTTTTCAAATATGCATGTAAATAGTACTTTTGGAAGAGAAATATCAAAAAAATTTTTTAAACATTATTATTAAATAAGGTTGGCATACATTATATTTACTGTATTACATCACTATCTTTTTGTTTTTCTCCATTTAGATAGAAGCAGATTTGGGATACCCTGGAGGTAAAGCAAGAATTATTCATAAGGAATCTGATATCATTACTGCCTTTGCTGTAAATAAAGTAAGTATAGACTTTCTTTTTCCAGTTAGAGAATATCTAGTCTCAATTTATTCAGTATCAGTATTCATCTTTGTCAAAAGTACTTCCCACTCATTACATTTTAATCTGAGGGCTTTTAAAAATTTTTTACGTAACTATATTGTTTAATAATATCATTCACTATTACAAAACTTTTACTGTACATGGGAGTATTAAGTAGTTTGTTTCTGCATTTAACATACTCATGTAAATAATGTGCACATCTATATTGCACATAAAATATGGGAAGAGGTTGCATGGTTTACAGAAAACTGTCGTAGCACCTGTTGTATTCGGTATTCGTATCTATTCAACAGCTAACCCAAAGAGACATTTATCAAAGTTCACAGAGTTTCCCGAGGCATGTTGTTTAGGAAGTGGATACCAAAGTTTTAGGCCCTTTGTTCATATGATCGCTATAAATCACACTCATCTCAAAGGCAATCAATAACAACAACAACCGAAAGAGAAGAATTTTCATTTTTTTAAATATATGTATTGAAGATGATTATTGTATTTTATAAAATAATATTTTTATAAATATATTGAAAGTGATTTTTCTATTTTATAAAGTTATATGAGACTCTTCAACATGGGTTGAGGATCAATATCAAGAAAACAAAAATTCTCACCACTGGGCCAATTGGCAGCACGTGGATGGATGATGAAGAGATTGAGATTGTTAACAGCTTTAGTTTGCTTGACTCCACAGTCAACACTGTTGGCACCAGCAGCCGTGAAATTAAAAGACATTGCAATGGGAAAGTCTGCTGTTAGGGACCTGTCCAAAGTACCGGAGAACAATGGTGTCTCTCTGGAGACTAAGGTGTACCTGATACAGGCCATGGTCTTTGCAATCACTTGCTGTGTGTCAGAGTGCTGGACAATGACTAGGGAGGAGAAAGGAGAATTGATGCCTTTGAGTTGTGGTGCTGGAGAAGAGTATTGGATGTTCCATGGACTGCTAAGAAAATTTACAGATTCATCCTCAAGAGGGTTAAACCAGGCTGCTCCTAGGAGGCAAGGATTCTAAAGCTTCATCTGACATACTTTGGACATGTTGCAAGAAGGGACCATTCCTTGGAGAAAGACATCATGCTTGGGAGGGTGGAGGGACAGCGCAGGAGACGAAGACCTTCTGTGAGGTGGATTGATTCAGTGACTGGGGTAATCAGGGTGGGTATGTCAGAGATAGTGAGGTTGGCAAAGAATAGAGCAGGTTTAGGGCTGTTGTACATAGGGTCACTATGAATCGCAGGCAACTCAACAGCACATTAACAACAACAGATGAGACTCAGTGAAGTTCTTTTTTTTATTTATAACTCCATTAAGGGCCCAACTAGTGAAACGTCTTTGTATTCCTGTCACTCTCTGTCATTGAGTAGGAGCCAATTTAAAGTTGACCTAGGTTTTCAGAGGCTGCAAATAACATAGGAGGAAATTTCCCCCAGCTTTCTCACTCAGAGCAGCTAGTGAATTCAAACCACTTCCTTTTGGATTGACCTACTGCTCCCTGCTGACTATGCCACTTTAGCTTTCTAAATTAGCTTTCTGACTATTTCTTAGCTTTCTAAATTAACCATTATTAAATCTAAGGTAAGGTTTACACACATAATCATTGGTTACCAGGAATAAGAAGAGAGGCAAGTAAAGTAAAAATTAATAAATAGATCAGAAACACTAAGATGATGAAGAGAAAGACAGTATGCAGTAAGAGATGATCAGACATTGTAATTAATTAATCTTATTAACTATCATTAATGTTATAAGACAAAATTTATATGGATGATTAAATGAAAATCCAATACATTTCTAAATTTTCACTGAAATCACAATAAAAAAAGAAAAACTACTGAAGGAAAAAAGCAAAATAACATTATTTCTTAAAAATAGACATAATCTCCTTATAGAAGAGGTTACTCTCAGCCCACTTGTCCAGGTTTTTTTACCCAAAATAAATGAAATTTTAGTCATTTTTACCTCCTTTTTTCCTTGATTGTCTTACAGCAAAATTTCTAGTCAGTAAAAGGTTTTCCCATTTAAATAAGCTTCTTCTTGTTGTGTGCCTTTATTCAGAACCAACTTATAGCTACAGTCTGATTTTCAGAGACAGTTAATCCCAGGGGAAGAGGTTAATTGCCCATCCTTCTCCCACTGAAAAGCTGGTGAATTAGAATTGCACGTCTTCAGAATTCTTGCCACTGGGCCTAGGCCACCAGTGCTCACACAATATATATAACTATTTATAATTTCATATATTCCTATCAATAAAAGTAGTTTTAATATATTGTTGATTTTTTATTTCCCAGTTTTTACAGATCCCCATTTCTTAAATGCATTTCTTACTAAATGACATTAAACCAAACCAAACCCACTGCTATTCACTGGATTCCACCTCAAGCCATCGTGCAAGATAGAGTCCATAGTTTCCAAGGCTGTATGTCTTTTTAAAGCAGATTGCCTCATTTTTCTCCCCTGAAGCTGCTATGTTTGAATTGTTGACCTTTTGGTTAATAGGCAAAAGTAATAATACTTTCAAGCAGTTAATACTTTTTCTGGGCTGCCTTTGTTTCCATATCTACTAGATCATTTCCTTATCATTCTGTTCTCATACCCCCGTGTCCTTTTGCTACTGAGCAATAATTAGTTATTTTCACAGTGGGCAAGTCTATAATCAGCCCTTAACCAGCCAGTTTTCTTGTTCTAAAACTTAAGATGACAGAATTCTTTCTCAAAGCCAAGAAATACAAAATTATTCTTTATAGTATCTTCCTTCCCCACTAAAATATTTCTTAAAGTATTTTGTGCTATTAAAACAAACTTTTTCCAGTAATAACTAATAGTAAGCAAATGTTCACATATATAGATTTTACTGTTTTTCTCTCTGTATATGTGTGTGTTTAAGTGTGCCTATCTGTTTAATTTTACTTTCTCGGGATTTGTTATTTTTTTTACATTCTTGCTACATTTATAGCTGCAAAAGCCACTTTTTTAATTGCCTAGGACTGCCAAACAAAAACACCATAAATGAGTGACTTTTAAGAACAGAAATTTCTTCAAAGTTTGGAAGTCTAGAAGTCTAAATTAAGGGTCGAGCTAAAAGAAAAGTTCTCTCTGTGCCAACTTAACTCAAATTATTAGGTTTAAAATGTACTGTGGTATTGACTTTACTAACATAGATAAAACAAATAAATACAAAGGTTAAGGTTTCAGGTCACATTTTAGGGAGCTCCAATTTAATCCCCAGAACTTTTTGTTTTAAATCCACTTTATTTTTTAAGCTAATGAAGTTAAACATCTCTATTTCTCAATTATCTATGTCAGGAACTTTAAAGGATCTGCAATTTTACCCTGCATTCAGACTAACAGGGTGGTGGTTATGCACCGTTGAGTGGACCCTGTGTACAATAGCTCTGAACTCTACTGTATCCTGTGCCAATCTCATGGTCTCCGACACAGCTGCCACCATTGTCACAGTAGCTGTGTCACTCAATCTCTCCAGGATCTTCCTCTCATGGACTGACCCTCCCTTCTTCCAAGCATGATGTCCTTCTCTAAGGACTGGTTCATCCTGGTAACATGCCCAAAGTATGTGAAATGAAGTTTCAAAATAATTGGCTCCAGGGAACAACCTGGTTTTACCCTTTCTATGTCAGACCTATTTGTTATCTTAATAGTCCAGTACTCTTCTTCAGCACTGCAACTCAGAGGCACCTACTATTCTTCTTCATCCTTAGGTATTGTGAAGCTCTCTGATGCCCAGCAAGTAACTGTGAAAACCATGGACTGGATCAAATGTACCTTAGTCTCTAGACTGATACCTTCGTTCTTTCACACTCTAGAGGGTTCCCTGACCCCAGATTTTCTTAATGTAATTCATCCTTTGAATTCCTGACTGCTGGTGGCAAGAATGTTGATTGTGGAACCAAGCAAGCTGAAATTGTTAACAATCTCAATCTTTTCTCCATCTATATGGTACTGCCAATTGGCTCATTGGTGAGAACCTCTGTTTTCTTGATGTTGATTTTCAATCCGTACAGTCTTTGACCTTCTGACACAAACTCTTCAGGTCCTCCTCGGTTTCTGCAAGCAGAGTTGGGTCATCTGCATAATGCTAGGTGGTGTTGAGTCTTCCTCCAATCATGATGCCATATTCCTCCTCTAAAAACCCAACCTCTAATCTGTTCTGCATATTGATTGAAAAGGTATGGAGGCAGGATGCATCCTGAACGCACTGCTTTCCTGATTTTGAACTATGCAGTGTTTTTTTGCTCAGTTTTGACGACTGCTTCCTGGTCAAAGTATAGCTTTTCCATGAGCACAGTCAGGTATTCTGAAATTCCATTCTTCTCAAGGTTGGTCACGATTTGTTGTAATCTATACAGTCAAATGCCTTTGCATAGTAAGTGAAACAGATAACCATTCTTGTAGTATTCTGCTTTCAGCCAACAATCCATCTGACATTGGCTGTGATGTCACAGCCTCTCCTGGAACCAATTATGGCCTTTTGTAAATCCAGCTTGCAAAAATGCCATTTATCTGTCAAAGTATTGTTCCAGTTGGATTTGTGTGTGATGTTTGTGATATTTTTCAATAATTTCCACACTCTGTCAGATCACCTTTTTTTTTTTTTTAATGGAAATAAACATAGATCTCCTCAGTCAGTTGGCAAGGTAGTTGTACTCCAGATTTTCTGGCACAGCCTGGTGAACACACCCAGGACTGCATCTCTATGTTGAAATATGTCAGAATGCCAGTTCCTTCAGAGCAGCTTGAACTTCCCCTTTCATCACTATTGCCTCTTGGTCATTACATTCTTCAGTGTCAGCCAGTTCTATTTGGTACCGTGTCTCTGTGTACTCCTTCCATCTTCTTTTGATACTTCCTGTGTCATTCAACAATCTGCCCATAACATTTTTAAGTCTTACAACTAGAGGCTTGAATTTGTTCTTTAGTTCCTTTAGTACAATTTGAGAGGGGGC